TAAAACTAAAACTTAATAAAAAACCTATATAGACATAATAAAAAACTAATAAAATGACAACATTACTACAACTGTAACTAAAACTAAAATAGATAACTAATACAAATCAAACTACATTAGTTTATCAGTAATCCTAAAAAAATAACACTGAGCCAAACACACATGCTAAAATAACAACAACTTACTGGCACATAGTAAGAAATGTTTATAAAAAAAATGAAACAGAAGTGAAACAAGTAGTAGGAAAGAGAAGAAATAAAAAGTGATACTTATCCTTTGCCGGTGTCCTGCTCGGTGGAGTCGCACGGTAGAGTCGATGGTCTTTACACTCTTCGGTCTTACCACGATCGCAGCCGCGACCGCTTCCGCAGTAAACTAAGCTTCTTTTTTATTCGTTTAACAAAACTCAAATTGAATTCAGCTCGACACACTTTCCTGTTTATCACAACAAATGGCCAAGCAAAGCGCACGACACTGACAAGGTACGCGAGACCAAACGCGATTTCAGCGCGTCTCCACAGTAAACAAAACAAGCCTTTCCTAGCAACGACAACTGCGCTAAACACTGAGACAAGAAATAAATACATTTACAAGCTGCTTTTAACTTCTGCTGATTGACTGCTTCTCACAAAGAGTATTTGAGTATAATAATTCGTTTTTTACAGTGCTTAACTGTTTAGATTTTTTTTTTTTTGAATTGCATGAAGTATTTGTTTCTAATCAACAACATTACACTGCCCACCCTCTTCTAGGATTAATATTGATTTGGGTTAAACTGATGCAGTGATTCCTTTTAAAGGAGAAAAACTCTTTTCAATAGTCACTGAATGGTAGCTTAGGGCAGAGGTTTTCAAATTGAAGGGAAAGAAATGTGGTCTACGGAATAGTTAAAAAAAATTAAAAATGTATATAAAAATTATTATTAGCATTATTTATTGTTTTATTTAAAAAAAAAAATATTATTTTTGTGGTAATTTTACAATTATTATTATTATTTCTTCTTGGCGTAAACCTCTGCATTATTTTTTCAGATTCTTTTGTGGTTATGTTTTAAAAAAAATTCAGCTGTTATGTAACTGGTGATGTAGTTATGCTTTTTAAATCTTCAGGTTTTTCATTTGATTTATTGAACCTTTTGTCTAAGGCTTCTTGTGCAATAAACTCCAGAGAAGGGTTTTGTTTAGATTTTTTCTTCACAGTCTGGAAGACGTCTGTAAGGAAACCTGCTACCTCAGGTCAATTTCTGCAATATCACACAATTCATAAATATAGCGCAAATCTGAAGGTGTGAAGTTGGCTGTCCGATACGAATACTTCGGCGGGAAACTGGGCGTGTGTGTGTGTTTATTTTTAGTACTGTCCTGCTGCGTTTTCTCTGGTCTTTCTCCACCTGTTTTGCGGACGGAGTGAAATAGTAGCGACTCTTTTCCTGTATCACCTACTCAAGCACAAGAGAGTGTGAGATTTCATCTGTATTCCATTCTCTCATCCTTCCCTCCGTCTTTTCTTCCACACAGGCCTCTCCTGCAGCGCTGGCTAAAAGTGTGCTGGCTGAGGTTCCCAATCAAGTGGTGGATTACTACAATGGAAAAGGCATCAAGCCCAAATGCATGTCGGATTTTGAGTCTTCCAGAGCGTTCAGTCCCTGAGCTACGCACAGCCATATTCGTCTCAGCTTCAAGATATCTTCATTGATCATTTCAGAGCTTGCTGCATTAGTGTAAGCATCGACAAGCAGGTCCATCCTTGTTGTTTTTTTTGTCACTCAGGTTTCCAATAGCATTGGGCAAAAATGTCCTTAGCTGTCCATATTTTCTTTTTACGCAGTTGTTAGTTATATTAAAGGTGCGCTCAGTCATTTTTTGTTTTTGTTTCCCTGGCTAATATGGCAGTTGTCTTGGACCTAAAGTCACCATGAAATCAAAACTGACTTGAATGCAATATTGCAGTGATTAGAAAGGATATGTCTGTGCACATCATTATTTTACATGTACCCTCGTAATCTTTTTTTAATCAATATAACTTCCCTTCTCCCTCGCAAGTGTAATGGAGGACAGGCTTTTGTTACCTTTTGTTTTGTTGATATTATTACTGTTATTTTGGTGGACCTGCTATACAAGGGCTATATAGTCCAATATAGCATAATATTCCAATGCGTAATCGTTTAGGAGGCAAGTGATTAACAGTTATTGGCCAGTGCATGACCACCGCTCAGTTAGTAAACACTGTTAGTCCTTTATGATCCAAAGTGCAACCATTTTATTGCTTTATTCAATTTACCTGCAAAAAGTTTGTGGTCGGTAAGATTTTAATGTTTTTTCTAAGAAGTCTCCTATGGCTTGATTACCTACCCACCCCAAACGTTTGAACGGTAGTGTATTTATTTTAAAACTTATGTTTAATGTGAGGCCTTTATGACTTACAATCGTTACATACAATTAAGTGTATTGTATATAGCTCTATAAACACATATTTATTTGAAAGCATGTGGAATGGATTCTGTGAATACAGTATTTACAGTATTTAGGCATTCTTTGTTTTTTGTTATTTTCTACAGGTTTCTTGACATTTGTTTTGCAGAATTTCTTAACATAATCTAACATTATAAAGTTCTTTCAGATGTTTGGATATAGTAGATGTGTGTTTCTGGTGCTGTATTAGACACATTTCTCTTTTTCTTTTATGCATTTCTTTCTTTCCTTCTTTCTTGGAGCGTGTGTGTATGTACAGTATTCTTGCTTACTACCGAAACCAGGACTGTATTTTGCATGTTGCCAATAAAAAAAAAAGTTTTTCCCACTTTTGTTTCTCAGCTTTTTGTTTTGATGTTCACTGGATGCACTTGCTCAGCATCACATTACAAACACCCACAGTTCTCTCACACCCAGTAATATTGATCTAATGTTTCTGTTTAATGCTACAATACTGTAATTCACTAAATGCTAAATTTAGAGGGATGCTTGAATGTATTGAAAGGCTCTTAACATGCATCAGAAGACCTTGAGAAATGGAGTCCTGGAGGCGTGATCGACTCTTTGAGTCAGAGGAATCTTTGAAGTCTAAACACAAACATGCACACACTTCTCTCCACACATCCACACAGCCTTTCAATTAGCTCCATCATGTATAATTAAACACTCGGATCACCAGAACAAGACCAGAGGATATCAGGAGAAAAAGATATCATGTCATTTTTTCATATCCTACAGGTCCATTAGTCAAAGATTCAGCAGATTATTTATTGTTAGTGATTTTGCTGATACGTTCTCGTTCAAATAAACTTGCAGCAGGGAATGAAATCTGAGGTTGAATGTCTTTCACAAGGACTCAGTATTGCTAGGAGACTCCCATTAAATATCCATTTCATGAATATTCACATATGCATCTTTTAAATAATAAGCATGAATATTAACTAAGGTGAATATTCACATAAAATACTGCAGTTTTGATTCACTTTGGTTCACTTTTCAATACTTATGTCATTGTTTAATTATTATTTCCTGTATTTGAACTCTCAAACCTTTTGTTTGAAAGTTTAATATTTTAATATATATTTATATATAAAGCTCAGTTTAGTTTAGCAGTGCAGCTCATATTCTATTCAATATATCAAGGCGTGAGAACCAGGCGTAAGTGACATTTTGAGCGAAATGGAGATATATATATCAAATGAAAGCTCTTGATGAGCTCTTTCTACTGCCAACAGGACACATGTGAATTCTTAATAATTTTGGAGTTATTCATTAGAAACCAAAAGACTTAACACTGAACGTACTAAACCAGTTGGAGCCAAAAAGGCGTAACTGCACTTATGCCCCTTTGGCACTGAGAAATGTATTGTGGCTACTGGCTAAAGCCTGTGGATAGCACTTGAGTCAAAATGGCTGACACCACATGTAAGGTAGGTCAATCATAAGAAGAAACCAGTTTTTTACTGCTGAAGGTGTAATATTAATCTTATTTTGTGACAAAGAGCTGGATGATGAGGGAGAAAATTACATATCCAGAATTCATTGTCAGTGAGGTGTAGCTAGCTAGCGGGTAGTAACCAATAACTTACATTCTGATGGTATGCCCCTAGTGAAAAATAAATATACTCAAATGTATTTGAAATACATTTATTTCATGCTAAGTATACTACAAATACATTTACATATTTATGTACTTAATAAAAATACCCTGCAATGGTACTTTTTGTATACTAATCTGGTATACTTAATTCAAGTCTGCTAAATTGGAACAATTAAAAATTTTGTGCTTACTGCACTTTAATTGTGCTGAAGTAGTGCTGAAATCAAAATCAAAATATACTGAAGTATATTTGATTGTGCTAAAGTGGAATTATTGCAAGTATACTTCAGGTACACTTTAAATATCTTGCATTTAAAGACCATCATAAATAGTGAAATTAAAACACATTTTAGGCTTAATATTGAGAAATGTGCATAGTGCACAAGTAGTAGTCCAAATAAAGTTTAATTATAATTTTTATATCAGTAAGTCTTGAGCAGTATGTCAGTAAATATATTAATAGATTTGAATTATACTTAGTATGGAAATAAATGTATTTTAAATATATGACTTTTTTGTTACTATGGGTGTTATCATATAGGCACTCAGTTACTGCTTAGCCACAAGAGAGAGAATGCAGAGAAGGGACAGACGGACATAGACAAAGGATATGACTGGGGAAAGGATACAAGAAATGCAGTGAGTAAAACGTTATACAGATGTCCACCTGAGATCACTGCTGTGAAAAATAAAGACTTACTCATTCTGCAGAAATGGCAGTGTCCCACAGTCTTATGTGGACACCAAGCTTTACAAGTCAGCCAGTCAGAGTAGGCTACAATTTCATGTACAATTCACAATTCCATTTGAAACTTTCTTTATGACACACATTCATACTGGTTCAAATCTATTAACATTTTATTTACTTTATTTATTGTCTATTTACTGACATATCACTCGATACTTACTGATATAAAAAATGTAATTAAACTTTATTTGGAGTACTACTTATGCACAATGCACATTTCTCAATATTAAGCCTAAAATGTGTTTTAATGTCACTATTGATGAGGACTGTATGATCTTCGAATAATATATATAATATAATATTTAAATGCTATAAAAATGCTATATCGGTCTTTAAATGCTAAATTATATTTAAATTGTACCTGAAGTATACTGGCAATAGTTTCACTTTTAGCACAATAAAATATAGCCTAGTTCAGTATATCTTTAGTTAGACCTCAGCACTACTTTCTTACAATTAAAGTGCATTAAGTACAAAATTAGTTGTTCCAATTTAGCAAACTTTAAGTATACCAGTTTAGTGATATGTAAATAATATGTAAATGTATTTGTAGTATAGCATGAAATAAATGTATTTCAAATACATTTTTGTATAGCTTATTTATTTTTCACTATAGGGAAGGCATCTGTAAAGGCTTTTCAATTAACCATTTGACCAAATTGTTAAGTGCCTGAGATTACTATTTCAGTAAAATTAATCACATTCAATTAACTAATTTGATGTAAGGGCTTTTTTATGTGATATTTTATTTGATCACAATGGATTGTTATTTCTTTTAAACTCAATAATGTAATGTTTTGTTCATATTGTCAGCAGATACGCCCATTTTTTTATACACGAAATTGAATAAAACATTGGTGCCAAAAAGTATATTTGATTGTGCTAAAGGAACAATTATTTTGAAGCGACGGAGAGCAGCGACCGTTCTTCCGTGTAACAACACCGGAAGTGGAAGGAATGTCATTCTACTGCAGGACGAACACGAGAGGTGCAATGATGTGACCGGGCTAAATGAATGAGCTGTAGTTGTGTTGTATGATACTTGTAAATTATAAAGATGACTGCACTGACGTGTAGGTTTATTAAACTTGCTGATGGTTTGCTAAGAGGAGCGCAAGTAACCGTTTGCCGAGTTGGAGCAGCGCTGCAGAGGTATCTGTTGTTATAAACAGAATATTATTATCATAAAATAATGTAATCTTTAACGCGGTATCATGTAAATATCACATATACCATATATACTCGCTTCATAATTTTATAGCAATAAATTTGAGTTTGAATTGTTGTATAAATACAGCAAATCGTATTATTTAGGCGTATTCTACAGTAGCATCACGTTTAACAACTTTATATAGTGTCACTGTCAGTAATATCACATTATCAACTTTTTAACGTGCTATTTATGTAAAAAGCATGGCAGTTCCCATAATGCCCCTGTTTTCTGTCTTCAACAGAGCCCCTGTCATTCAGTGTATAAGAACGCATCGGACAAACACATGGTGGGATGAGCACCTCACAGAAGATAATGCTTCCTTTCTAAAGAAGGTTGTTACAGAGGAATACAAACAACAGACCACAGACAAACTCAACCCTCTCAAGGATGAGCCCTGGCCCAGACATGAGTGGGCAGAAGGTGGGTCACACTATCAGAACCCCTGCAGTCTGTGGGTGTCATTTCTGCTCCAGTCCGAGGAGGCAGCGTGCTTGTGCTCATGATTGTGTTTTTTACATGGATTACTACTTCAGTTTTTATGGTTGTATTGTTTTGTAATCTGCATCCCCTCAGGGAGTCGGAGAGTCGGTCTTGTGGCCGTTAAACTTGGAATGATGCCTGTGTGGACCAAATCTGGAGAGAGACACGTAGTGACTATGCTGCAGGTAAAGAGGATACAAATTCATCACTTTATTACAGAGGAGGAGATGACAGCACTTTTATATATATTTTTTTGAGGACAATATTTTAAAAAAATCTGTTTATTTATTTATTTTTAAATTACACACAGAGTCAGACACAATTCCAGTTTCGGCAAAACATTCATTTTGGGGCATCACTAATATTAAACTGCACTTTAAAACATTAATTATATATATACATATAAATAACAACCCGTCAAAGTGATTTATATATTTACATTTTAATTAATAAATTGATTGAGCCACTTCATATGCCACATAATATTAATAATAATTTATTTCAGAACAATATTGTGATTCTTTAACTGATATTGTCCAGTAGGGTATGTTTAACGTGTTGTGACAACTCTAGATCTCACTGTAGTCTCCAAATTATACTGAATTGGTGCATTAGTGATAAATACAATTAATCTAGTCTGTTATATTGTACTGCTGAGGTATGGAAACATTATTAAACATAGTTAAAGATCTGTAAAAACACCAGAATCAGCCTCCATGGAGTTGGTGTCCCTGAGCATGGTATTTTTTCTACGCTTGTTCCAGGAAGCTGAACTTCCCATGGCATCTCAATCAAATATAAGAGACTGAGTAACACATCCATATCTCTCTCAGGTGCAAGACTGCCATGTTGTGAAACATCTATCCAAGGAAGAGTATAATGGACGCACAGCGG